TGACATCAGCAGGCCCCAGCAGAGGAGCTTCAGATTAACATCTTGTAAAATAATAAACCAGCAACCAATGACTTCAGCAGTCTTACAGCACACATTCAGTCACTGGGACTAAACTTTTGACACAATGCAAGTGCGTTGTGGCTTAAGCCCAGCTGATAACTCAGAACCACGCAGCTGCTCGCTCGCTCCCCCTGCTCCCGGAGGGATGGGGAGGAGAATTGGAGGAATGTAACTCCCATGGTTTGAGATAACAGCAGTCCAGTAACTAAGGTATGATACAAACCACTGCTGCTACCAATAATAATAAGGGAAATAACAAGGGGAGAGAATACAATTGCCCACCACCTGCCCACCGATACCCAGCCCGACCCGAGCAGCGATCTGGGCCTTCCGGGTAACTCCCCCCAGTTTCTATACTGGGCATGACGTGCTGTGGTATGGAATAGCCCTTTGGCCAGTTTGGGTCAGGTGTCCTGCCTCTGCTTCCTCCCGGCTTCCCCTCCTCCCTGGCAGAGCATGAGACAGAAAATCCTTCGTTAGAGTAAACATTACTGAGCAACAACTAAAATCATCGGTGTTATCAGTGTTGTTTTCAGGCTGGAAGTCAAAACCACAGCACTGCACCAGCTACTGAGAAGGAGAAAAATGACTGGTACAGCTGAACCCTGGACATTTTGGTAGGATTAATTCAACCAGTGAAACAGAGCAAATGCAGTAGTAATTAACTATTACAAAGATGTAAATTATGGACAGACATTGGTTATGTTCCTAGATTTTAAATGAACTTTCTATAAGCTCTATTAAAAGCAACTTAATAGTAATAACTTTGACCTGACATCAAAATTATGAAGTTGCAAGTAGGTTTGGTTTTTTTTTAATTTCTTCTTCTAATATCTGGCACTTAAGTGTTAAAAAGACTCTTTTTAAACTTCTGTTTGCATAAACAAAACTCTTTTCTCCTAAGGAGTTCAACATGTGTGTTCCTGTTACTACCATGTCACAGACACGATTATATCCAGGCAAAAGGAGAAGTTCAGTATCTTTTGGAGAAATCAGTTGCTTTGGGGTGAAGGGGGTCTCAACAGCAGGTGGGTTTTTTTGGGTTTGGGTTTTTTTAGTTTTGGGGTTTTTTTTCCCCAAAGAGTGCTAAAGATGTTTTGATTTTGTTCAAATGCACGGGAACACATGATAGTGTTTCTAATAACCCTTTTCTGTACAATTATCCATTTTCGCTGCAAAAGTGTTTTGAAATAACATGTGAAAAAAAGAAAAATCAGGTCAAGTCTCTGAAATAAACAGCCCTTTGACAGCTCACTCCAGAAACGTAATTTCCATTATATTTTTTTCTTGGAATATTGTAGGTGCTATTCAACTGCCCTGCTCCATTTTATGCTATTTCCCCAGTCTTTTTCCACAAGAACTGTACAACAATGCATTTTCAGAAGTGAACCTCAGCTCTTGCTAGGGTTGAACTGCATCCCACAACCCAGAGAATGATTTGGTTTATTAACTTGCAGTGCCACCTAGCAAACGCCCTTAACATTTTTTTCCCAATGTAGTTTCACAAAGGACAGTTAGAGGTTTCAGATCTTAAAAAATACCAATTTGTGCTTGCAGCATTTTAAACATCTGGTGCATCGTCTTGTTTTGAACAGTTAAATTTATTAGAACTTACGTTTACAAACAGGATAACAATAAAGATGCTCACATAACTAAAATATGTTCTGATTACATTCTGAGCATTAAGAACTAGTTTTGGACACATCCCTTATAGATTTGTCTACAAACAGTTCCAATAATTGTTAAAGGAGGTTTTTCAAATCACACATTTTCATAGTAGGTCAGTGCTGAATTTACTGGAGTTTTGAGATGAGAGACTCCTGCCACCAAAATAAGGAAGATTTCAGCCTATCAAGGCTAAATTAGCGCCTTGCATGCAGACACCTTTTAGGCTTGCATGAAAGCCAGACCAGTTTGATTTGCCTTGCCTTAAAATAACAACCATATCCTAAGACAAGTTTAGATATTTAGCTCTGTGCCTGAACCATAAAGTTATTCATGTCTGAGGCACTAAAATGCAGCAATTGAGAATAAATGCTGCAGCCACCTTCTATTACACCCAAACCTCTAACAGGAAGCTCTTCCCTGTTTAGTTCCTTTGCCAAATCCTGATAAGCCATTTAAAAGAGAATATAACCAAAAAAGCAAAAAGCAACCTCATGACATCAAGAGTGAAGGACAAAGAGAAAAACACACTCTGCTGACTGACCTTATCCTCTCTGGTAACGGATCTGAGGCCAATGACACTATAAGCTCCTTGAACAGAGCAGCTCGTCTTCATTCATAGCATCAAGATGTACCAAGTATTTAGCCAGTACTTTGGCACCAATACAAAGTAAGTTTTATTGCTTCTCTTGGAATTTCTAAACAGAGTTCTGCCATTACACTTCCTGGTGAAGAGAGAAACCACCACGTTTTATAGGGTTCAAGAACTAAAGCACGTCAAAACAAAAGATGTTTCCAATAGCAAGAACAGTTTTGGCTTAGTTATGATCCTACGGTCCTTGATTTTTCAGCGTATCTCCAGAGTCCATCACTGCATGAGGACTGTATTTACAGGAAGACTTGCATATCACTTCAGCCGGCCAAGGGGAAAAAAAGAAATAAAACTTAATAAAAGCCCCAGCATGGAAAGAATGAAATTCCGACAAGCACTACAGACCCCATCTTTGTCTCAGATGCATGGCAGATATTTTCATGTTTGCTATCCTAAGTCAAAGAAGAGAACACCTTTATTTTCTTCCCCTCAAGAAACCTACATTTTGCATACTCCCTTGAGCTCTTTACAGAATAATTATCTCTCCATTGGATGGCCCAATGAGTTTTGCACAGAATACTGTGCAAAAATAGCAGATGCATTTCAGATGCTGCACTCCTGTAAGAACTTTGAACCTCAGTCCCTGCAGTCTGGCAAGAACGGTTTTTCCAAAAAGCCATTGAAATAGAAAAGCTCTTTGAAAGTTTCTCTCTCATCAAGTCAGTCATCTCAGCCTGACTTGATGCATTTACTTTGCGAGTTCTGCTATCATACTTATGGTTTTAGTGCATTATAATTCATCTTTATAACTGCTTTTCCACCGAGTTCTCCAGATCCCTGTTGTTTACTATTCAGCACAGATTCACAGACTGGTTTTGTGCTGGAAAATGTGCTACAAGAAATGCGATGATAAATTCACTACAAAAAGTCCTCTGACCACTGTAGGCCTTAGTGCCACCTCCCTGTTCCTTCACAGCACAGAATCTGCTGCTAAAATGTTGTAACAAGACATTACACATGATTTCTATCCACTCAAGTAGCACCCATTTACAATTAAAAAGTCTCTCCCTGTTCCCTAAGTCCATAGGTTGATCCTGCTTTGAATGACAAGAAAGGAATCACTGTTTTGGGTCAGGTAGGTGTGTGACACATCATCTGCTGTTCAGCACTAGGAGACGGGGTATTAGAGAATTATTGCTACTTCTGTTTCAGTTTCTTCATGACATGACAGTAAAGAGAGAGACAAATCAAAACATAGATCAGGCATTTCAAACAAGCCCCTCTCGTTTCTAATTCCCAAAAGCTGAAACCCACAAGAAGCCACATAGTTTGGAATGAACTGGGCCTCCACAATCTCTTTGAAGTCCTCAACTAACGACTCTCTCACTACACACCACTGATGCTTACTTTAAGTCACAGCTTTCAATATTTTCATTGTCTCCTAAATTGCAAGAAATATGACTATCTATAAATGCACATAATTGTTTCCTTTCCAAGAGAGTACGATTCTTATCGTCAGAACCCATGGCATGTTATAATACAGTAGGCAGTGTGGATGTTCTCACATTTATTTTACTAAAATATGCCTTTTTGATTACTGATTCTAATGGAACTATGCTTTTTTTCTTGCCCTTGTGTAATGTGAAGATTAGTCATGACAGGTGGTTTTTCCCTCCTCAGGAAGTAAAGGAAATCCATCCCTTAATTAATATAAGAAGATAATTACTATGCTCAAGTGATGAGGACTCAGGCAACTCTCTGTTGAGAAGCTATTTATTTCTCCTTCTTTTCATTCAGTTCATCTACAAGAACATTTTAGGTATGTGTAGCTCTTGATGCCAGTTAACCAAATATTGCAGTGCCACTGGGGATATGCGCCTACCTCACCAAACATGGAGAATATTTATGAAGCATGTCTTTGTCCTTGGAGAAGGGAAGCCACGTGTCTTTTTTTCTCTCTCCCCTCTTTCATGAAATCTTCTAAGCTCTCCCAAAAGCATTTTCTGTATGTTTTACAAAGTTTCTGGGCTCAAACTTGATGCCTTATTAACATTTAACCTCAGTTTCTCTACACAAGTCAGAACAGGCTTTTTCTGCAAGCCAACAAACAAGGCTAAGTGGCTCTGGAAGTAGATAACAGAACACCCTTGCTGTAGGTGCTGTTATTTGCAGGGAGCACTTCTCTTTCATAAATACACAACACTTCTACAGAGAACCAAAAGATGGTGATCAAAACAGTCTGCTCAGTATTGTCCTGGCAATTCCCCATGGTGGTGCTACTGACCACCTAGAGATTAATCAGTTATTTGCTTTTAATCACTACACACATTGTTTCTATTTGTTTGGCAGGTAAGAGAATGAGTAAAAATTTTCACACTTGACTCCTGTGCTTTCTCATTCTCCAGGTTCTAACTACTAATCAGGACTTGTTCTCAATCCTTACAGGCACAATTAAGCAGTTATCCCAAGCTTTCACTATTAAATACTAGCAAAGCAGCATGTTTCTTTCCATTTCCATGGACAGTTTCACATTTTTATAAAAATAATCACACATCTGCAAAAATACATGAATTTTTTTAAAATACCATTTAAAAAGCAACACAGTATTTCTATCTGCTATTTTATCCACATGATACAGTCATGACACAGAGAAGATTTGTATTGTTTTAAACCATTTAAATGTCTAATACTGAGGAAATGTTGGGTCAATTTTACTGGCCCAAGCCATGAGCCCCCCTTTAATATCCTTGGCTAACACAGAAGCAAATTCTTTGTCAGTTAACTCCTGCAGAATTCTTACAGCCTTCTGGGAATCATTTCCTAATTTGCAAATAACATACACAGGAAATGATGTCTGGCCACTAGTTCTCTGCTTTTCTTCACAAATTCTCTTCTCTAAGTGTTCCAGATACTCTTCGTCTTTTTCTTCTAATTTACTCAGAGGAATGTGAACAGCATGTGCCAGGCAGCAGATATCCACTTCTAACTGTGGACGAACATCTAGCAATACATGAGGAACTTGCTCATCCAACAGTTTCTTGTATTGTTCTACAGATATCCTGTCTTTACTGGACAGCAGATGTAAAGTCCTGCACTTGTCTGTTGCAGAAGAACCACAAAATGCCTCATAATCCTGGAGACAGGTGACAGATGGATCGTCACCACAAACAGCACAGTCTGGTTTCTTTGGTCTTAACTTGATGTTGCGAAATCTCCCCTCCCGGGCATCAAACATCAGCATGAACTGATTGAAAGAGGAACCCATTCCCGAGATGATCTTCAGCACTTCCAAGGCCTGTATGCACCCCAGGATGCCTGGCACGACACCCAGCACTCCTCCATCTGCACAGTTGGTCACTGTCTCTGGTGGAGGGGGCTTGGGGAAGAGACACCTGTAGCAGGGCCCTCCCTGGTAGTTGTACACGACCAGTTTTTTTTTCCCCCCCCAGCCGAAGGGCACTGCCGGACACCAAGGGTTTCCCAGCCAGAACACAGGCGTCATTCACCAAGTACCTGGTGGGGACATTGTCGGAGCAGTCGGCGACGACGTCGTACTGCCGGACCAGCTCCAGGGCGGTGCGAGGGCTCAGGGCGCCGCAATACGGCACGTACTGCACCGTGGAGT